AGATATGGGCGGTGCCACGCCCAATATCTAATTTTGAAGTCGGTTCCTATAAAGTCATCTCATACCATCCCAGAGATAAAATTTAATGTCTCTGACTTGTTTAGTCTTGGTTTACCGCTTTTAGTAGTTTTAAACAGTACCGTTATATAGGGAGTGGGCGGGGTTGTCATCGGATTTCAACCATCTTCGCACTGTCGATAGAGGTGCTACAAACATTTGTTCTTAGTGAGTTTAGTTATTATAGCTTTCGCGGTTTAGGAGATATGTACATTAAACCTATTAGGGGGTTTACTATTAAAAAAATTTTAAACTGCAGATGCCTCCCCTAATGTGATCCTTTTACTAAAAACAGTCTTGTATCTCATTGTGAAGCTTAGTTATGGTAATTTATTTGGTTTTGAATAATGGCGTTTTGTGGGCGTGGTAGTGGTCCGATTACGCCCATCTGCAATACCAACCGTCTCACTGTACCAAGAAACATGTGTACCAAGTTTCATAAAGATATCTCAATTTTTATTGAAGTTATAGCTTGCACAGACGGACGGACGGACAGACAGTCACCCAAATTTCAACTCGTCTCTTCATCCTGATCATATATATATACATAACCCTATATCTAACTTGATTAGTTTTACGTGATACAAACAACTGTTAGGTGAACAAAACTATTATACTCTGTAGCAACATGTTGCAAGAGTATAAAATTGTTGCGAAAGAATTAAATATCCATTACTTGATGAAATCATGAATAAATTACAATCAAATTTGGTATCGTCTTGACTTATATTAAAGGCCATAGGCTAAAATTATATTAAAAACACCTTCAAATGAGATATATGTATATGATATTAACTCCAATGAAGAAGCTAAATTTAATATATTGAGTTGATGAGTTTAACCGTAGGGTAGGAATTCATTATATGAGGCCCAAGGTATAGAAAAATTCCATTGTAATTCACCGCTAAACCAGAAAACTTGTCTACTTAATTTCACTAAAATATCACACAATTTGACCAACCTAAACGGTTAAAAGACAGGTGGAAAGACCAAGATCATTTTATGGGGTATATTGGTGATAGAGAAAGGTACGGGCTGATTGCATTAATTTTGAAAATTTGGTCAGATATACTCGAGAAAATAGTTTGATTAGTATTTATATATAAATAGTGTGTATTATTATACGGACATATTAAGTATAAAACTTGTTATAACGGAAATCATTATAAGTAGTATATGGAAGTAAGCAATTATCGAGTATATCCACTTTAGGTGCAAAGATACACTGTTAAGAGTAAAACACGCTCTCTAATTTTCATTGGGATAACGAATAATGGATATTTTATAGGCACATAATTTTTGAAAACAAAAAAATCATAAAACGATGAAACCCAGTACAAACGAAAGATAAAGTAGCCGAACATTTCATGCTCTTTCAACTTGCATGGAAAAAAGGCGGAGAACACCTTTAGGTTTTGGCAAAACTTTATATCAAACTAAGCAACATAATGTCGTGCTTTTATCCATTTGGCTCTGAATTTCATTAAGATTTTTTATATACAAGTATTGACCGATAGATGCGATATAAAGTGAACCGGAGGTTCGAAAATTTTTATGTTAGCTATATGAGGAAGCAGTTCAACACGCTTTTACCCATTTTTGACAATTTTTGAACGCAACATGAAATACTTTGAGAGCACTATTTGTGCACAGTTTTAATCTGATAACTTTATTGATTTTTGATTTGTATAATATAAAGTGAAAGAATCAGATGGATTTCAAAAGTTTGTTATAGGGGAACTAGGCGTGGTTGTCATGCGATTTCGCCCATTTTCGCAGTGTCTAATAGGAATGCTTGGGCAACCTCACACACCAAATTTAGTTGATGGTATAAAAAAACTGAGCAAATTTACCATAGTAATGTATATATTTGTTAAACCATCAGAAAGTAGAGATTTCAACAATATATAACCAATTGATTTTTTAAAAAATTCGAAACTTTAATATAAGAACTTTTAATTGAAAATCAGGATTTTTTCGTTTTTAAGTCGAAATAAGGTTTCCTCTTTAATGTGTTAAATTAAAAAAATACATTATGTTTAGAACATAAGAAGGTAAGTTTACACCAACTCTGACAAAAGAAAAATATTTTTTGTACATTAGCATACATTTTAAGGTTATGTGAAATTATTTTCCTATAAAGTTTGCTATTCTATCTTTAATTTCCGATATGTTTCAACCTAATATGAATTTCTTTATTTTTTAAAATTTTCAAAGGCTTTTGTACTAGCCTAATAAAGTAGTATAGTATAAAGAATTCAATTCAAATAAATATCGCACATTTGTTAATTTTTAAATGAAATAAATAAAAAACAAGTGATAACGAAACAAATACTGTTACAAATATTTACTTTTTTAAGACTTCATTCAAGATCCTAATTAATTTCCGCGAACTCGTACACAGCAAATCAGTTGACAGGCAAGTGAGTCATGAAGTAAACCATTTGCTTAATAAGCAAGTGAAATTTGTTGCAAAATCTTGCATTAGCTGACATTTCCGATTGCAACATTCGCAAACAATAACAAAATACAACAAAGTTGTATAGTCATAGCCGCACACACGCATACGCTTGCGCATAGATAAATCTATAAAATCTCTTAACAAGTCTGCGGCGGCGGCAGCGACGACGACATTGAAAGTTTCAAAAGTGTAAACAAATGACGCAGCGGCAGCGCTGAGCGACGTACAGAGCAAACAGTCAATAGCGCTTGTGATAATCAAAGCGTCATCAACAAAAAAGTTATAAACAAAACTTATAGCGGCAAACGGTAAATCGATAGGTAAATTATATATAGACGGAATTTCCGAATTTACGTTAAATTGCGAGTGACGAAATTTCTTGCTGTAGTGCTGCCGCCAATTGTATTGGCGTTGGCATATAAAAGACTTAAGGCGCGAACTTGCTTGTGAGGGAAGTAAATAGTTTAGGAGTTGGAGGGCGAAATTGTGCTATTTAAATTTTGATGTCAAATTTTTTTATAAAATGTGTGATAATAATTTATTGTTACATATTTTGTATAGATAAGTATATTTGTATATTTGTATTTGTGATTTCAGGTAAATAAAATTGTCGGTTGTATTGGCAGTGATTGAATAAGACAGCAGCTTCGAGAAATATTAGCAATATACTACTTTTTTAGGCAACCTATTCCGATATATGTTATTACTTTTCTGCTAAAAAACACGGCCGGTCATGCTAGCAGCCAATTATTCATAAGGATAGCATATATAATACTCTCCGATTTTCTTTCAATTTATAATTAATTTCTCAATTGTTTCGAAGTATTTAAACAAATTTATAGAGAAAGGCGGCAAAATGGTGTGCGGGGTCTCAAAAAATATTTAATAGTTTTAGCAGGGTAGATATAATGATCGGAGTACAAAATATATTATGAAATGTAAGTGATTTTTTTACTTCGCTTAACATTAACTTTCTATAACCGCCTTCCAGCTTACATTATCTACCCACAAACCACTCGAATCACATCACACATTGCCTGAGTATTCGAAATCACAACTGTTTTAGATACATCGATTTTTAAGATTTTCGAAATTTTTTATATTTTGCCAAAAAAAATTTTTTACCATGCTATACATAAATGAGAAAAATAATTTTTTTTTTTAAATACTGAGTCAATCAATCGAAAAACTGTCAAAGACAAACTTTTAGCCCGAATAACTCGTTTTCAGCGCCGTATAGTATGACATGATGCGACACGCAACACTAGTACTATGGAAAATAACGTCATCTCTAAGATAAAAACCGAAGGAACTTTTTACTTTACCTAATATATGAGAAAAATTAATTTTTTTTTTAATATATATATATTATATGATTTTTCTAGTTCTTGAATTATATCAAAATTTTGTCGAACATTTTTCAAAAAGTATATATACATAAATTATTTAATACTTTTAAGACCCGAAAATATTTTACTAATATTCTAAAATTAGATTGGGATTTTTTTACGAAAGCCTCACTTTAGTCTAGTAGCCATTATAAAACTATGCCTATACCTCATTTATAACCACAATGGGCAGGTGTACACATAAATCAGTAACTCAGCGTGTGAAAAAAGTGATGAATAGTTAATTGTAGGTAGTTTTGATACATGCACGTACCGCCCTACGCTCCCAGGCATGGAGTAGAGTGACTAGCAATTTGTTTTCAATTGAGCGCAGATTGTCTGCAAATACACTAAATGATGAGCAAAATCAGTGATAAACCAAATTTTCGCTGCTACAAAAAACACAGCTGGGAAACTGGCAGCATAAAAAAAGAGAAAGTGTTTAAAGAGAAAACGTATATTTTTAAGAGAGTTATTTGGTGGCAAATATTCTGTCCTTAAGTTTGAGTTTTATTTCGATGATTGAATTTTGACAGGATAATATAAAGAAGGATTAAGAGTGTCGTTGTGAGAGCTTTAGTGGTGCTTTCACTGTAGAGCTTGCAAAAGCTGCATGAAAGCTGCAGTGACTTCGAACACCATTTTTGATATCTTTGTTTCTTGAGGAAAGGACTGGGATAGAATAATAGAAATATAATAGCAAACCTAAATACTTAAGAGAAGAACTTAAGGAACCTTAATATGCTAGTTTTAGAAGGTAACTTTACTTCCTACACACCATCAAAAATGTCAAATTTTCTCTTGCATTCTATGTCACATGCTTCATTTCTCTTGCACTTTGAATACATACAACTATTGCGATCACTCTCTCACAATCTCCACAGCAACTCTTTCATTAACTCTTTCTCGTTTGCAATCCGGCTCACGGAGGCGCTACGCATTGCCGCTTTCATTCACCGCTCATATTTTCTTACCAGTCTTGCAACTTTCCAGAGCGTCTCCGTGTTGGTTCAGTTTTTCTTTGCAGCGCACAATTTTCGTTGCGCTTACAAAATCTGCCGAAGCATTTTCTAGTCGAGACTTGCTTTCGAGCTGGTTTTATGCACTGCGCCGGCTTTACCAATTGCCAGTTCCAGCTTGAACGCGCCAGCGTGCGGTACACTTTCGAGCGTCTCATCCGATTTGCACGGTTCGCATTCGCGTTAACCGCTCGGCTTAAAGTGCTCACATCACATTGTTGTGCGTTTGTTGTTGTGTCTGCCAATCGCGTTTATTATTATTTTTTTTCATTATTTTTAATTACATGACATCGCTTATGGTTTTGTGGAGCATATTTGAATAAATGTCTTAATAAAATACTTACGTACATCTGCAGAGACGCTAATAAACGCATAGCTGGTTAATGAAAACTTGCTACAGGTGTCAAAAGCAGTGCTACAGGATTCTCTGCTGTTCGAATTGCACAAACAGGTGGGCAAGGAACGAGCTTTACACGTTGTTATTGTATTTTCTATGTGCAAAATTATAAAAACTTTTTTAAAGGTGTATCTGCTGTGCTAATTAATTTTGTGCGAAAAGCAAATGTATAAAGCGGCAGCATAAAAAGTTGAAGTGTTTTTTTTTCAATAAAAGCAAAATCATAAAAAAATTCTTAAAAAAGTATTAAGTTTTTCAGAAAAAGTTAATTCTCTGAACTTCTAGTAAAACAATAAAAATGTTTAAAAAATGTAACATAAAAAATTGCTCAGTTCAGTGAAAATGACTAAAAAAATTTTAGAGTTTTGATAAAATATTATAAAAAATATACCTTGTGCAATAAACAATTTACTAAACTTAAATTGCAGCAAAAAACAAATAAGTGCCACTAGGTAGCTCCACTTTTTAATTTTCAAAAAAATATATATATATATTGTATATAACTTGAAAATATTGAGATAAATATTAAAACCAACATATTATAAATTATGCAATACAATTTTTAAGATAATAAATTACACAGCACTAATAAAATTAAAAGGGATTATAAATCATATAATAAAATTAAAACCGATATTCCAAATTATTTGAAAAAATTACAGCTAATAATAAAAATATTAAAAATATATGTCATATTATAATAAGGAAAAATAAGAAGAAATATACAAAATTTAAAAAATTGCTGAAATATTTCTTTTTAACATAACATAAATTATATACTGTGAGTTCGACATTTTGTCGAAAGTGATAAGAATATAGCTAAACAAGACAAGCAACTTTAATTCAATTGTATCGGCTAAGAAGATTAAATACGACAAAATAAAAATAATAATAATCTTAACCAAAAATGGTTTAAAAAGCAAAAAAATTGTTATTTGGGTTCAGGGTTGCAAATAATGCATTAAAAAATTATTGCATTAACATATGAAATAAATGTTTTTTTTATAGTTTGTAATCCCAAATACGGGACTAAAATGAAAAAAAAAGTTTTATCCCACATACCGGAGTGAAAAATAAAAAACATTTTAGTTCTAAAGTTTACCTTAATTTTTAATCCCAACTACCGGGTTGAAAAGTAATAAATAAAAATTTTAATCTCAAGCATATAATTAAAAATTAAAGCAAAAAATTTTTTTTAGAACTAAAATTTTTTCGCGTTCATTAAAATCAATAAATAATATTTTAAATTTTTAATTTCTAATCTCAAATAACCTGGATTAAAATCCATAATTTTTGAAGTAAAAAATTCACAGCCCTGCTGGGATTTAATACAAAAAAAATATTTATTCAAAACTAATAAATAAAAGATATATAATGTATAAAGTTTATACTTTACGTGTAATAATAAAAAATTCAAAGAGTTAAATAAATTATTATTGAAATATAAAAAAATTAAGAATTAAGAAATAACGAAGCTTCGCAAAGTTTCCATACATATTACGAATATATTTTATAGAGTCTCTGACGTTTCCTTTTGGCTGCTAAGCACCTTGGCAAACTTAATACAGCCTATTCAGGGTATAAAAATAAAAATAGCTTGGAAAGTTTGTAACGCAAAATTAAGGGCCCTTTTCGAAAATTTTTTTTGATATAAAAATTAAAAATTTGTTTCCAAAGATATAAAGATTTTGTGAAACTTTCAAGAAAAAATATTCAAAACTTGGCCATTACGAATTATGAAGTAAAAAAAAAAAAAAAGTGTTATAATTAAGACCATAAAATTGTTTTTGAAGGAAGGAAAAAAACTGTAAATTTAATTTATGGCAGATTTTTACGTGCGTAATGCATATTTCATGATGTTTTGTTTTACTACTTGTAATTGAAAAAGATTAGCCTTCGTTCAAGACCTTTTAAATTGTATATTCAAGTACTGTGTAAAGATTCATTAAGATCGTTTGAGTAGTTCGCGAGAAATCTTGACCACCGACTTTGAAAACACAGTTTCACACTCTTACAGTTTGAGATGACTATATAGCTGACCTCGAGCGCGCAACTTTTTAAGTCTATATCTCCAAAACTATTAAACGGATCAACTTGAGCAGGTACAACAATATTATGGAAATGTTATAGAATTAAGTAAGACAAAAAAATCTATTTTTGGACGCCGTGAAACCCATTTAACTGCTTAAGTTCAATTCATCAAACAAAAAAAAAATATGTAAAAGAAGAACAATTAATAATATTTAAATAAATTGAAAATTGAAATAAAATTAAATACGTGTGCTAAAAAATTCATAATATCAATCAGCGGAAGTACATCTAATTAAAAAGAAAATAATATACTAGTATGAAAATTAACTAAAATTAAAAAATTAACAGTTGCAAAAAAAAAATTGAATAAATAAATAAAATTGTATTTGAAAATTATAAATAATAATAATAAAATAATACATAAATATATTTTTCATATTTTCTATATAGCTTATACTGAAATTTAATATAATATTTTAAATATTGGGTAATTATTACCATTATTTTATGTTTTAAAATTGAAATAAAATTATCATAATAAATATGTTTAGAAAAGTAATTAACAATAATAATCCGCAATAATTAAATAATATAAATAATAATAATGAAACATATATAAAAATTTAAAACACATTTAAAAAAAAAAAATTTAATAAAGAAATAAATAGGATTTGAATATCAAAATAAATTAAACAAAGCAAGAATAATATTAAAAAAAAATGGTACACAAAAATCCTCACTTTGATATAATATATGAAAACCACAAAATTAAAATTTAAGTATTTAATATACAGTTTTCAGCATTACAAAAAAAAAAAAAATTAGAAAAAATTTATTGAAAGAAATTAATAAGAATAAATAAAAGATAAGCGCACTGCCCAATGAAACTTTAAAATTACAAAACAAAATGTTATAAAGTGTTATTAATTTACAACAGTTCCGCAAGAAAATGGAATAAACACAAAATATAACAATTAAAGCACTTTCTACTTCAAAATTAATGAAAAAAAATTTATATATAACTCACCGTATTACATTAAAATTAATATTTGATATCTTAATATTAAAAATATATATATTAAAAATAAGAGAAATAAAAAATTATTAAGTATTGTATTAACTAAAAAATAAAAAAAAAAGTAATTAACAATTTTATTTATTATAGAATCATAATATATACAATGTAGTTAAAAAATTATATTTTTAACAATTTGAGAAATCATTTTTAATATTGTATAATAAACAATTACTATGTGGTTCGAAAAATATTGTAAGATAAACAAAAAATTATTTGTTCTAAACTTAATTAAAGTCTAATAACCTTCACGTATAAAAAAGTTTCCATTCTATATTTTGATCGGTCAGTTTGTAATACAGCGAGATTATAACGTTGCTCTGGACAAGAATCCATGCCAAATTTCGTGAAGATATTTCGTCAAATTAAAAAAGTGTTACATACAAGTACACGAGTTTGATCGTACAACTTGTATAGCAACTATGTATATGTTTTAGTGGTCCGATATCGGCGGTTTCGACAAATTAGCAGCGTCTTAGGAAAATTGGTGTGCTACGTATACGTGTGAAAAAATTCTCAATTTTTATAATTTCACCAATTGTTAGTTATTGCTCGCATTGTTAGCTTTAGCAATTAACTTTGCAAATTGCGTGCTCATATGACACTAATAAATCGATACAGAGTGAGCTATTATAAACAACTTTCATCATTCGTAGCATAGGGCCATTGCTCACCTTAAATTTGACAAAACTACACTCAGAAGATCATCGCTGCTAATTAAACATTTTTTTCTGGTATAAATTTCGGCTCCTCTTGATTTGATCACATGATTTTTAATTCAATTAAACATAGATATTTAAATTTACATGCATAAATTATATGTCAATAAAATATTTTTGCTTTTATACACAGTTCTCTGTGAAACCTCAATTTAAGAAAAGGTGTTTTAAATTATTCGCGACGCAACTTGCACTCTTCGGCCGTAAAAGAGCAATAAAAAGGCGCATTATGATAAAAAAAGATCATAATTAACATTGAACAAGCCCTATATGTTGTTACGGCTACTTTGTAAATAAACAGTGGTGCTCTTGTTGTTGTTGTATTTTATAGCCACAGCTGATTAAAAAATCAACAAATGCGAAATTCATTAAAAAGTGAGAGTTTTTTACACTTCCTTTGTGTGTACGTGTGCTTCGCCGCGCTGTCGATCAATATTGTGTATGTATTATGTATGGGTGTGTTTTAAAAATTATGTGTGTCTGCGTGTGAAACCCCTCATTGACTGTGTAGAGCAACAAAAGCTGCTTAATATTCAAATGTATGCTGTAGAAGGTTGCGCGCCTGCATAGTTGACTTAGTATTACGATGTTTGTGTGTGTGTATGTATGTAGGTGGCACCCGTAGCCAGAGCGTAAATGAAACTCGCAATCAGCAACAAATTTATTATGTTTGTTGTTTTTGCAGCGCACAGCGTTTGCTTAATTGCGTATGCGTCTGTCGCCTGCGATATATAGTCCGCGCATGCGCACATTAACGTAACACTTACAGTATACATATGTAGAAGTGTAATCAGCATCACCAAAAACAACAACAACAGCCGTGTGCCACTAAGTTTTACTTGGAAATTGGCATTGGCTTATCAATGGCCACTGCAACTTGTTTGCAACTTACTTACGAATATGTTTTATTCATTCTTGTTGTTGTCGTTATTGACGCTTTACACTATTTTAAGTTAGCATAAGTTAGTTTGTTGTTGTTGTTGTGATTTTTTTCAATATTGTTCCCATTTGTTGTTCTTATTGTTTTTGTTGCTATTATTAGTTTTGTTGTCGTTTTCATTATGTGTTCTTGTTGTTGTTATTGCTTTATTTTGTTGTTGCAAATTATTCATTTGTTGGCTATTGGTGTTGATTTTGTTGTTGTTGCTATTAGACTTGTTTGCTCTTGTTTTCGTTATTTATTATTTGTTGTTGTTGTTGCTATATACTATAGTTGTTGTTATATGTTC